TTTTATCCTGAGAATATACATTCCACTAAGAGTCAAGGCATTAAACTAAAAAAATTACTTGAATTAATTATTTTCTTTGAAGAGTAATCAAACTGATATTCAGTTAGGTTCACTGTTGCTGTTGTGGTTGGCTTTGGGGTTTGCGGTTTTCTTTCTTTTGGATCTAATTTAAATCTAATTTAAACCCAAAACTGTCTAAAAAAGTATAATCAGGAAAGTTTCATGCCCGTCTCTATCTCCTCTACCTTGTTCCCACCCACTCTATAGGTAACCGTTTAAATTAATTTCTGGTTTATGCTTTGTGTGTGTTAGTGTGTGTGTGTGTGTGTTTGCAAAAAAACTCTTCTTATTTCTCCTGCTTTCTCAACTCAAAGGTGGCATACTATATGCACTCTTTTGCATCTTGCATCTTCCATTTAACATATCCTAGAAATCACATCATATCAGTTCACAGGGCTCCTACTTTTTTTGGCTGCATAGTACTCCATTGTGTGGATGTACTGTTGTTCATTCAGCCAGTCTGTTAAAGATGAGCATTGGGTAGTTTCCAGTGATTTCCTTTCCTGTTACAAATATGCCTTAAAGAATCACCTTGTGCATATGTCTTCTTGTATCTGTGAATGTGCATTTTCTGGATAAATTCCTAGAAGTAGGACTGCTGGGTAAATGCATATGCTGTTTTGTTAGATATTGCTAGCTTGCCCTCTGTAGGAGTTATACTGGTTTGCACTTTTAGCACTGATTTTGCAACCTAGGTGGATCCTGCAAGAGGTGTTCTGAGCTGAGAGTTTCCCCGAGCCTATATGTGAGAGTCCTTGACCTCCCCACCAGGAAACACACTACCTCACACTCCCCGTGCCCTAGTGATCTGGCAGGAAGGCAAGAGCAAAGGGGTCTCACTGATTCCATTCCAGTTCATCATCCTGAATTGTCCCAGAGCTTTCTGTACTTCACTTGGGAAATCAGAGCACAGAGAAGTGATGGGGCTAAAAACCTCGGCCAGAGAGGAATTAGAGTGGCAAAGGCAGTAGAGAGGAAGGACCCTTGCCCCTTGATGCCTCAATCCTCACCTCCCTTTTCCCTCCTTTGGCCTTTCCACTATCCCACCCGCCACCCATTCCCCAACACAAATTGGCTCCAAAGGCTCCTCTGCTGACCGGGAGCCCTTGGCTCTGGTCCTAACTGGATCCTGCCTGGTTTCCCTCCTCAGACCACATTCCTGTGGGCTGAACACAGAGGGCTGGCTTAAGGTGGAGGCAGAATTCAAAAGTCCCTGTCATTTCTCTTTTAACATGTGCAGAGGAAGTTAAGTCAGTGGAGCAAGTCTGGCTCATTGCAAGGGAAAGAGGAAAGAGGAGACAAAGAGAGATGTTGGGAGAGGAAGCACAAAACATTCCGCACAACCCTTGGGGACTCCAGCCCCAGGAGCTGCTTTCTTTCTATGACCTGCTCTACAAAAAGGGGAAAGGGGAAATGAGCAGGGGAAAGGATGTCATCCCAGTTTGACCAAATACCAATTGGGGATGATGGGAATCAACAGGGACCTGGGCTGGGAAGGGAGCTGTCTGAGGGATAGGCTGGGGGGGAAGACATCAAAGGGCTGGAAGAATTCGTCCAGGGAAAGCAGTGAGGCCCCACAGCAGGGCATTCCTCTTCAAGGTCAAACCAAACACCTGGGTCAACCTAAGCCAAACATGATTCTTAAGGTCCTGGGGAGCCAGAACGACCACCTTCCTCTCCTCCCTCCAAAGCTTCATGGATCTGGAAAGCCCTAAATGGGCAGGGCTTATCCATATCTTTGGGTGCTTGGTCCCAGACCAAGAACATAGACAAAAAAGAGTAAAGGGCCCACGAGGATTACCGAGAGCAGCTAAATTCTTGAAATAGAGGCAGTTTCCTGTGGAATGCTGAGTAGCTGACAGGTGGCAGCTGAGTCAGGGCTGGGCCCAGTAGCCCCAGGGCCCCTCTTCCTCTGAAGACCCTCCAGCCAACGCCGGGGAAGAGTGAGGCTCCCCAATATCATTGCTCAGGGACCGCCAACCCCCCTCCACACCGCGTTACTTCTTCCAGCACTCACCCCTTGGGCAAACTAACTGCTCTCCTCCAGCCCGTAACTGGGCATTCCCATTTTGACTTTGTTCTGACACCAAACACCAAAGAAATCGGACAAACCTGACTCAGCCTCTCCCTCCCACCATTACAGCGGGTGCAGGCTTTCCACTGTGCGGAGGGGAACTGAAGCCCACATCAGCCCGGAGGAGGGTGATTCTCTGGCTCTCCCAGAATGTCACTTCCTTCTTTCAGCAAACGTTGACCAAGCACCTTATAACGTGTCAGGTACTGTGTTAGATGCCGAGAGTCCCGGGGCTAAGACTGTGCCTCCTTCGATCCAGCCTCGAATCCAGACTTGCCCTTGAATCCAGCCAGGGACACGGAGGTGGCAGCGGGCCGGGGAGGGACCGGGGAGGGGCCGGGGAGGGGGCCGGAGGCTCAGCGCAGGCCGGAAGGCAGCAAACCTGGGCTTGGCCGCTCGAGCGCCTCCCGCGCGGAGTACTCGCGGGTAGGCGGAGCCGGGGGGGCGGAGCCGAGCTGCGGGAGAGGCCGCGACGGGGCGGGGCGCCGGCCGCTGGGAGCCCGGGGGCCGCGGGTTTGCTGCAGCCCGGGCGGGAACCGAGAGGAGGTGCCCCCGCCGCCCCCGCCCCGCGCGCGACTCCAGGCCTCGGCGGGGTGGGGGGATGGGGGAGCCGGCGCCTCGGCGCGCGCTAGATAAGGACCTGCTCCTCGGGGAGAAGCCCTCCCCGAACCCACCAGAACCTACCCCTAGTCAGAGCACTGAAAATAGGAAGGCCAACCGTTGGGATGGTGGGATTATGGGCCCCCACGGTGGCAGGGCGCGCGGGGGGAGGGGTGATTTCGGGGTTGTACCTCAGCAAGATGGTGGCAGGGAGGATGGGGCTCCCCAGCAGGAGCAAAGAAATGGATTCCCCTCCCCCTTTCCTACAGAACAAGGGCATGGATCCTGTCTTGGGCCCCCTGCCCACTGGGGGAAGGCCTCATTCCATTCTCCATCAGAAGACAAGGAGGGAGAAGCTGCCTGGCCTTGGGGTGCAGTCAGATCAGTCATCCAACGCCTTAAAATGAAAATTGGTTCCTGTTGCTTCCTGGGCCCCCATTTAAGCTCTCCTCCAAAAGTCCTTTGCTTCCTTCTTTCCAGTTGCTAAGCTCCCACCTTTACCACCCCTCCAAACAAACCAGCTGGGGCAGAAGGCAGGTGCTTCCTCCTCCTCCCCACCCCCGACTGACCCCGCTGATCGGTCAGCTTCAGGCCCAGGACCCACCTCCCAGAGCCCGCTCCCCATGCCACCACCCCTAGGCTACAGGGACCCAGGCTCACTGAGCCATCGGAGCCACCACCTCTTCCTGCCCCCCTCCTCCTCCACCTTCCCCCAGCCAGCCCGTCCTGACTACCTAGGCCCCCCTCCATGGCCTGTCCCAGCCTAGGATGACCCCGGTCTCTTCCCTTCCTTCCGCGGAAAGAGGGCCGGCGCTAAGGGGGCTGGAGGGGGCCTCGGAATAGGAAGGGCAAGAAGGGGCAGCTCTGGGGAGGAGCTCCAGGAGGGAGGGGAGGATCTGCAGCCTCCCTGCCAGACACCCCACCCAGAGGAGGAGATGGCGCTGTAGCCCGGGATTCACTTCCCCTCCCCCGCCGCGTCAGTTGCGCGCCCGCGATTTCTCCATCTGACATCCCCCCTACCAGGCCAGCCGGCGCCGACACCGCGTCTGCAAGTTGTTGTAAGTCCGGCAGGAATGCCCGGGGGAGGTGCCTCTGGCCAGCAGAGTGCCCACTCGCTCCCAGGATGCGCAGGCCACTCCCGCGTCCCCCCCCCCCCCCCCGCAGCAGAAGAAGAGCGGTGGGTCCTTCGGAGACACGGGGGAGCGCCTGAGGCGGGCCTCGCCTTGGGGAGGGTGCCAGCCGGCCTCCTCCACTCCAAGAGCCAGCCAAGTATGTGAGGGAGCGAACGTGTGCAGGAGAGCGGGAGGGACCATCATTTCCAGCTCTTCTGCAAGACGGCGCAGTGGCCCAGGACGCTCGGGGACCCTCCCCAGGATGCCCGTGACCAACCTCCAACCGCTCAACGCTCACCAGCCCCACAGGCACCAGCCTCGGAACTGCAAACTTTCCAACTTCACCCCCGCTCTTTCCTCCCCTTTGGGACCAGAGATGTGTGGGGCGGTGCCCTCAGAGACACTCATACAGTTGGTTCTTGACGCTCGGCGCACACTGAACAACAGCGGGGCCAGGGAACTCCCGGCTTTTTCCACAGCTAATTATAGACGTGAAAGTCTGAGGATGTTTGCAAGCGGCAGAGAAACTGCTGAGGTTTCTCTACAAAGCTAAAGAAATTTAATTTGTGCACTCCCCTTCCCCAGCCCCCAACTTCTCCGACGTTCGCCCCCCCCCCCCCCGTGAGCCCCTCTCCCAGCCCCTCATTGCAGCCCCTCCCTCCTGTTGAAAATTTCTTACTCGGTCCTTTTTTTTTTTTTTCCATCTCTCTTTGGGGCTTTGGAGAAAGGGAACAGACGCGGAAAATATTTTTGCAACAGTTTTCCATTCTGCGTCTCATTCCCAAGCCAAGGGGGAGGGGGAGGGCAGGAACGGATGGGGGGAAATAAATGCTTTTTCCGAAAGCTCAGTTTGGGTGTGAAAAAGACGGTGCCTCCATGTCCCTACCCCCGTGGCCCAGGAATGACAAAAACTAGGAAAAGAGAAAGAAATCACTTGTTTGATTATTCGGTCTCTCAGAACGGAATCTAGGAAATACGGTGTTTGACAAATCTGTGCGCACACACACAGAGACGCTCACAGACACACACACTCCAAACCCAGTCGCAAGAAACAGGCTAGGCAGAGGAAATTCAGGGAGTTTTAGAAGCCATTGAGAGCAAAGAAAGAAACAAAGTTTGCAAATCGCGAGTCAATTCATTTTCTGCAAGCCTACCTCTCTTTCTAGCAAAGATCCGGGCTTCTCCAAGCGGGACTCTCCCTCCGGGTTTCCATGGACGGGGTAGGGTGGGGGTGAGCACCCACCGGTCTCCCCAGTGTGGCAACCACGCTAGAGATGCTGCCTCTGCCCTCTCGCCTTTCCAGCTACGGCCAGGGAGTGGGCTGGGTCTCCTCCCCCGGCCCTCCCAAAGGGAAGGACCTCTCAGGTTCCTGGAAGAAAATGGGTGCAGGGGAGCTGGACGGGTGTCTCTGGCCTTGCTCTCCTCGGAGGGATGGTTCCCCAGGAAGTTCGTGCTCCCCCCCTCAACCCCCAGCTTTGGACGGTCTCAACAGCAGAGCTTTCTTAAGAAAATGCTTGTCATGGCAACAGCTCCAGCCAACTCGGGCCAGACTCTTGCTCACCAGCTCCCCGGGAGCAGTGAGGGAGGAGAAGGGGGAGGAGCGAGAGCTGGAGCGGAGGTGGGGCTTGGCTGGAGGCCAGACCATTACTCTACTGTTAAGGTGGCCCGGTTTCGAGCTGCAGCGGCTTCCTGGTTCGTCTTAAGGGGGAATGGAAAAATGGAGGGGAGGAATCCTCTCTTCTCTCTGGTTTCCTCCCCTCCCTTGCTGTCACATGCGGGAAGAAAAGTAGGGTGGGGGGTGGAGGTGGGGAGTGGATGTGGGTGGCGGTATTCAACCGTTGCTGGGTGGAGGGAAAAAAGGAAGCTTCTGCTGGCTGTTGGCTTCCTGCAGCTCCTAAGGGCCTCTCAACCTCTTACTCACTTAGACCCAGGACCCAGAAACCCAAGGTGTCTGCGGCACCTTGTGCCACCGGCCCCCACCCTCCTGCCCCTGTCTGAATAGGGGGCTCCCTGGAGGAGAAGGAATTGCTTTGGATGCACACAAGTACACAGCTTTGCTTACACACAAATCTTAGTACACACCTCCTGACCCAGACTTTACACACACAATCCTAGGTCATATTTTGCTCCCTCTTGCCTCTGTACCTACCAGGGGCTCATCCACACTGCATGATAATAGCTGCTTTCTTATGAGCCTACTATGTGTGGGCTAAAGCAGAAAAGCTTTGCTTGTATATGTGGACTCATTTCCACTGCTCATGGCAATCTTGGCAGGTACTTATTATTATCCTCATTTCAGAGTTGAGGAAATTGAGGATCAGGGGCTGGTGCAAGGTTATACACCTGGCTAATGACAGAGCCAGGATGCAAAGCCAATCAGACCGACTCCAAAGTCCATGGATTTTCCTGTGCTTGTGTCCTACTCCAACACACATTTCCATTTTCATGCCCTCACTCAGGCATCTGTGTGCACTTATACACAGCCTATAAATTGTTAATCACACCTCCACAGCCACACTCCCACCAGCATTGGGCAAGAGTACCACCCAGAGCTTTTGCCTGGATTTTGATTGTGGCTTTCAAGTACAAACATGCACCATCGACTGATTCACACAACAAATCTACATTGACTGATATATTCCCACACCTACCTCAGCACACCGGTGGCTCATTCATATTCATATGCTTCTGGAAGGCATGTTTACCTACACAGGTTAAGGTTGTCAACTGTGCAGTGAAGAAGGTGACCTCCCAGAACTTCAGGGTTTGGGAAGAGGCTTCTTAGATCCTTCCAGCCTAACCCAGCCCTTCACACCATCCCTGTCCTGCTTTGCATCCTGTCCTTCCTGCCCCAGGACGGAGAACCATAGGCACATGGGGAAACAGACTTGTGAATTGGACTTCTAGAGTCTACTTTCCTTCTGCCCCTTAGCATCCTCTCCAACTGCCTAACATTTGGGTCCTTTTCTCCTCTCTTTATTTTCCTATCCCACTGTTTCTCGAGAAATCATCTGCATCCTATTTCTAACCTCGGGGAAAGTTAAACAGATAAAAGGAAGGAAACTTTTTTAGATTTGTTACACTGGGCTCAGAACTTAGAGCTCCCCCAAGGTGGTGCTGAAGACTGCCTGCCGCCATCCATCTTGGGAGCCAGGTCCAAAATAAGCCTCTCCTGTCCTGTGCCTCCTCTCTCCTGCCCAGCTGGTGGAAGCTTGCAGGGGTGTGGGGGGATTTTAGGGTCACCTTCTACGGAAACCATCCATGGGCTTCTTTTCCAAGTTTCACCCTCCTTGGCGCTTAGAAGACACCAAGGGTGAGATTTGTTCTCATTCACTCCCTGCTCCCCCCAACTTCTTTGGTCCCTCCCCCCCCACTCCCCAGGGCATTTCCTTGGAAGACCTGCTGGCAAGGATAGGGACCATACCTTGTTAGAGTTTGGAAAGTCCTGCCAAAATGTCAGCTTCAGGAGCCGAGATGGGTTGTTGGGGAAGACATGGGAATGGAAGGAAAGGAATCCGCTGAACAGAGCTTCAGATTTAATGGCTTGTCAGGCTCCCTGCTGGATTGCAATAACTTGACATTTTGGAGCCCAATGAGTGTCAGCTGCGTCTTCATCATGAGAAAGCCGGTCTCCAGAATGGTGCTTTAAAGGTATTAAAATACTTTTAAGCTCTGTCTGCAGTGGCTGTGCGTGGAAGCGTTGCCCAACTGTTCAGTAAACTTGTCTTGGGGGAGTAACAATTTAGGCCAGATGTGTGGTTCCATTAAAGGAGAAGTCTACTTCGGCTGCCTGGCATGTGGGGGCTGAGACATGATGCCAGTTCCCAGCTGGTGAGTATGTGAAAGGCAAGATCCTCTCTTCAAACTCCCTGGGTTCCAGGGAGACCGGCTCTGTGGGGGAGGTGCTGCCCAGGAGGCTCTGATGTGAGTCCCACCTCTGGCTGGCTGGGATTCCTGGGCAGGCCAGGAATATGGCTTCCATGGTAGCCATCAGGTAGGTCCTCCCTTCTCTCAGAGCCCAGGGCTCCCCCTGCCCAGGTGGGGGTGGTGGGTTGAGAGAAGAGGAACCCTCCACCCCATTCCAGCCCTCAGCCCTTGTGGAGGCAGGAGGGAAGGATGTGAGACATGGGTCAAGGTGACTTTAGGGGCCTTTAGCCACAGCCTTATCTCTACACCTGAGCCAGCCACCGAAACCTGTGTTTTCTGGAAACCCAGAAACCTCGGTGCCTTGTTTCTTCCAGCAGCAGGTTTGAGGTCTTGGGTGTGGGGAGGACCCACATAGATGTTTAACAGAATATGCTCCTCCGGCCTCTTGGGAGCTCCCTCTTGAGTTCCCCAGATCACACTTGCTGATTCTCCTTACCGCCTTTGAGTGCAAACTGCATCTCTCCCTCCTGGGGGTATCTGCTATTTTACCTGTCCAGAACAGCAACCATCCTCCCCACACCCACACCCACTTCTTTAAGACAATCTTTCTCCTCACCGTTAACATGGGAACTGTCAGTTTATTAGAGGTCCCGCCCCTACTTGGCCTAAACTGAGCCAATTACATCCTTTCCTGGAATTTTTGAACTTAGGACCACAGAAAGAACAAGGGTTGTTTATCTCCAGCAGTGGACACTGTGAAGAGTGAGGCTCTGGAATTATCAGCGGCCATGTTTCCTGCGCATGGAAGAAAGCTGACAGTGGGAAAGAGGAAAGCTTTCGTGGGGAGAGAGGCTGAGAGGAGAGATGAAGAGTGAGTCCCTGGCAACATTTGAGTCAACTGTACCTCATATCCTACTGTGCCCTTGCTGTTCCTACAAATGAGTTGGTTACATGACTCATTATGCATGTATAAGCTACACTAAATTGGGCTTTTTGGTCCCTTGTACGAGGTAATATAGAAAGTAATATAGAAACCCTTCGAGCTGGTACCTACCATTTAGGTACACTCATTTCAGTGAATTTTATTCATTCATTTTATTCATTACTGGATACGTACTATTCAATTCACGATGCATTTCTTGAATGTCTACTGCTTCGACATCCACTGGGCCCAGACAAGATGTACAGAGATAATAAAGCTTATAGTTTAGTGGAGGAAAAAGATAAATTCATAGCACAAGTAACCACAATAGAAGGTGTTATAATTATTCTTTGAAACATATTTACTGAATGCTTACTATGTGCTAGGTAGTGCATGTTAAAAGGTGAAGTATGAAAATACAGTAGTCCCCCCCCCCTTTTTTTTTTTAAAGATTTTATTTATTTGACACAGAGAGAAAGAGAACACAAGCAGGGGGAGTGGGAGAGGGAGAAGCAGGCTTCCCGCAGGGCAGGGAGCCCAATGTGGGGCTCCATCCCGGGACCCTGGGATCATGACCTAAGCTGAAGGCAGAAGCCTAACCAACTGAGCCACCCAGGCGCCCCACAGTAGTCCCCCACCCACCCCCCGGCCCACTTATCCCTCAGGGAATACATTCTAAGCCCCCCAGTGGACACCTGAAACCTTGGATAGTACTGAGTAGTTATGTTTTTTCCTATGTGCACCTACCTACCTACATACCTATGATAAGTTTAATTTGTAAATTAGGCACAGTAAGAGATTAGCAGCAATCTCTTAGGCACAGTAAGAGATTAGCAGCAATAACTACCATACTCCAGGGAATGGCTACTTCCGACAGGAATGTTAGAAGGCTCTAGAAAGGAGATGGTATTTGGAGGTACCTGAAAAACCTGGAAGAGCAAGCTTTAATCCGTTTTGGAGGGGTGAGTGGGGTGGAGCCATGAGGGTAATGGCATGAGCAAAGGTACAGAGGTAAGAAGGATGGAGAGAAGCCTGGGGGGCTGGACTACCGAGGGCACTGAGTGGCCCCCCAGGTCTGTGTCGAGCAAGCTCGCTGTGGCAATGGTGTGGAAGGTAGATTGGAAACCTAGGTGGCAGGCAGGGATGATCCGTGCCCAGTGCGATGCTCGGCAGTTTCATATAGTTGTATAAAACACAGTCCTTGTCTTCTAGAAGCCTCCCATCTAGTTGTGGAGACACATGAAATAGATAACAACAGGGTTGAGTCGGTTGAGTGTCTGACTCTTGGTTTTGGCTTGGGTTGTGATCTTGGGTTCTTGGGATGGAGCCCTGTGACAAGCTAAGCAAGGAGCCTGCTTCCGTTTCTTGCTCCCTCTCCCTCTGCCCCTCCCCCTTGCACAGACACACTCTCTTTCTCTCAAATAAAAAACAAAAATAAATCTAAAGAAAAAGAGGTAACAAAACAGTGTGTGATCATGTCTAAAAGGATCTAGATGAAAAATCCAAAGACCGCTTAGTGAAGGGGAAGCTGAAGATGGGCTGGAGCTTTTGGGGGATGGCTTCTTCCAGTTGGTGGGGCTCCAGCTGGACTTTGAAATTCTTCCCAGTGTCTCTCTTCCCACTCCCCTGCAGAGGAGTCTGGTGATGGCTGAAGGCAAGCTATTTATCTGAGCAACATCTGCCCTCATGCCTCTAGTCCTTGTCATACATAACCCAGGGCAAGGGGAGGAAACCGGATCCAGGAAGACAGAGCTGGGGAAACTGACATAGCCACAGG